GGCCCTGATATTATACATGTATAAAACATTGTTCACAAGAAGTCAAATTAAGAATATTAATATTTATTGATATTAATTATAGTCTATTATTTATATACTATATAAATTATATAATAGAATTTATTGTAAGCATTTAAGATCCCAGAAAAAATGGTCTATATGGATAAAAACTAGAACCATATATTTCTTACTTCATGATAAAGATAAGTCACTTAAGTTATTAAATTCTAACAGTTAAATTATTAATGTGATACTAATATATTCAGAGTGCTGAAAAAAAATTTAAATGATTTTTTAATTTATAACTTTAAAATTATTCATTATTGACAGGCTAAAAGATAATGCTGACATTTCATGTTAATAAATGGAAAATTACACATTAGCAAAAATGCATAGTTAATGTTGACATTATATATATTTTAGTATTATCCATAACACATATTTTGTTAACATTTCAAAAAACAAATAAAAATTATTGCATTCAAAAAAATATGTATAGCAAATGTCAATTTTATATATTATTTCAGCATTTATTTAATTTGTAAATATTTTTGCAAGTTAATTTATACATAAAAAAAAAATATTTTTATGAATCAATTTTTTTATTTTTAATACTACTTATATCATTTGAAAAACAATCTTAAGAACTCTGTGTAAAACATCACAACACATATAAAGATCATTCTCCATTTGATCAATTGAATTTATAAAACCAGGCCAAATTTCAAGTCTAAAATATATAATAAAAATGTATTAACTTTGTTAAAGTATACACCATTAAAAATTAATATCTGACTGGAATTGTAGTTCTTTTTTCTTAATTGGATCATAATGACCTCTGCCAAATTCAACAAATCCTAAAATTTTTATGATTCTACGAAAAAGAATATTATAAAAATGTATGGAATCATTTAATGTATTTCTACTCTTATATGAAATTTTCATTTTTACTTCAGTTCCATCTTTTAATTTACCCATTAAAATAGTTACCTAAAAAAGTTAATTCAAATAATATAAATTTCTAATTGTAGAACATTAAATTATATTACATTTTATGGCAACCAAGTGTCATAACAAGAACGTGTGTAGACAGTGGCGTATTTACGGGGGGGGGTCCAGTACCCCTGGACTTGGTTTTGCCCTGGTGGCCGACGTCGACATGTAGGCCAAGCATACACAGTGCAACAGTTTTAGGACAAAAGTTGCAAATCAGTTGCACGCGCAACTGTTTTGTAACCTTGGTGTCGTATAGCTGCGACGTCCACACACGAGGCGATAAAACTAAAATTAGTTTGCAATCAGTTTATAATCGGTTGTACACAATCGTTTCCCGCGGTCGCAGTTGCGTTGTTATTATAATTAACCACGTGTATTATTCGTGCCAATATAATATAATATAAATTATATAATATTGTATAATATAATATCAATTTGTTTTTTTACGATTTCTGAAAATGAGTGATCAGGAACTTAACTTAAAGTTCGTCAAGGAGGTTGAGAAGCATGAAGAGCTCTATAATTATAAATTTTCTATGTATTCCAGGAGATTTGACGGAGAAAGCATGGCAAGATGTGGCTGCCTACGTTAATATGCCAGGTATGAAAAATTCAGTAACTTATTACTATTTAAAATGTATTGTATTTATATTTTGTAAACGAAGAGAAAATTTGCATTAAAATATAACAAATGTAATTTTTTTGTAAAAAATGAATTTAACCTACTATAATAGATACTAATGACTAATACTATACTAATACTAATACGGTTAATAATTAAAAATGAATGAATTATAAAAATTTTTTATGTTGGTGAAATACTCGCATTTAATTATATTATGTTAACAACGTTTAAAAATTAAGTCATAATTGTAAAACTATTTTGTATTCCCTTCCGGTGCTGCGAATTTCCATTATCACGGTAGACTTGCACTAGGAGAAAGAAAATAGTTTGCCGAATAATTCCTCAAAGTAGTTGCTGAAGAACCTTCGTGTATCCATATATCTTGTACTCGTATGTTGGTTGGTCGGTACTTCCGCTGTCTCGTTCATTTGTGCTGTGTCGTGGGGTCTGTACTCAATTCCTTCTCGTTTCCGTACGAAATTGTGAAGGATGCATGCAGCTTTTATTATATCATTCACTGTTGTTGGATCACAACATCGTATGGGCCCATTCAACACCGCAAACTTTTCTGTTGCCATACCAAACACACATTCAATAGATTTTCTTCATAGGCTTAATCTATAATTAAATATTCTCTTCGTATTATCGAGGGTTCTACTTGAATAAGGTCTTAAAAGGTTTCGAGACTGTGGAAACGCTTCATCTCCGACAAAGTAATAAGGAAATGGAGTATTACTTTCATCATGTCACAATGAGGAAGGTGAAGGGATGTTAAAACCTCCATGGTTCATCCAGTAGTTTATTTCACACGCTTTAAAAATTCCTCAGCCATTATTACGTCCAGCAAACCCCGGTTCAATAATGGTGAAAAGGCCATCTGCATCCCTTACAGACCGACAAGGCACGATCGTGAGGGTATAGTTTTTTTTTTTTTTTCATTGTTATATTTATTCTACTTTGTTCAGACCGGTCTCGCACGATTGTGAAGGTTACGTTACATCGATTTAGTTTATTTTTAAAAGTAATTTGGTAAAATACAGCCATGCTCCATGTATCATTAGTTTTGGGTTTTTATCAGTTTTAGATATCCTTGGTGTTCGGGTTTTTTTCTTAGTACATATTTGCGATAGCAATGAATTTGTTGTTTTGTTTTATTTATCATATCTTTTCCCAGCCGTTTCTAACAATACCCATTGCTTAATATTTGTTTCTATTAATGTTTTTTCACGAACAATATTTAGTATCACGTTCGTGAGTGTACGGTCTATAGGTGCGTACAGCGTAACATATTCAAATCCACCATGAATCCTGATGAAATTTTAGATTTATTAGAAAATTCCGATATAGAATTTGAACACGACGATGATGATGCCGATCCAACATATGTTTTACCTGGTCAACATGAAAATAATAATTTAGGCGAGGTAAGTGAGTCTGAAGGGGAAGAACAACTCGAAACTACCACACAAGTAAGTGTGAATGAAAGTGTTACTAGTAGTAGTTCATCGATTTCCGAAAAAGTAAAATGGTGTATACAATCATTTAAATCTAAAACATTTTCCGAAAAAGTTCTAAACACCTCTTCTGTAGGCACACCTATGGAATACTTTAAAAAATATTTTCCCGAAGAATTATATAAACTAGCTGCGTCTTGCACTAATGAATATTATATGGAAAATACGGGTAAAATGTTAAAGACATCTTCTATTGAAATAAAAAAAAATTTTGGCATTCACGTAATTATTGGTTGTATTAAATTTCCTCGTCTCCGAATGTATTGGAGTGCTAAGTATCGATATGATCCTGTTTCAGCGGTAATGTCTCGAGATCGTTTTTTTCAATTAAGAGTAAATCTACATTTTGCAAATTTCGTAAGTGATGAAATAAAAAAAAAAAAGTGTAAAGTGCAACCACTCATAGATTTTGTAAAGAATAGGTGCTTATCTATTGATCGATCATCAACTTATTATTCAATTGATGAACAAATGATACCTTTTTTGGACGTTGTCAAATTAGACAATTTGTTAAAGGTAAACCTAGACCAGTTGGTTTCAAAATTTTTGTAATTACTACGTCTGATGGTCTAATTATTGATTTCGAGATATATCAAGGTCTTATCACGCCTTTTCCAGATAAAACTTTAGGACTTGGACCTGCCGTAATTTTACGTCTTATTAATACAATACCAGAAGGTTCATCTGTATTTTTCGATCGTTATTTTAGGACTATTCCATTGATGCAGAAATTAGTACAGCTAAAAATTCATGGAACTGGTACCTTACAACTTAATCGTTTACAAAAATTTCAATTTAAACCAGATACTAAAATGAAGAGAGGGGATTTTGAAGAAGTTGTATCTGATGATAAAATTATTTGTCTATTGAAATGGAAAGATAACAAATCAGTAGTTACAACATCGACTTGTTATGGAGATTTACCAACATCATCAGTATCCAGATGGGATAAAAAACAAAACAAATATATTTACGTACAAATTCCAAATATGATATCAAAATATAATGAAAAAATGGGTGGCGTTGATCATTTTGATCAAATGATGGAATACTATAGAACTTGGTTAAAAACAAAAAAATGGCCACTTAAAGTTATACTACACTTACTTGACCTAACAGTAACAAACAGTTGGTTTGAATATTTACAAGATTGTAAAATTAATAAAGTACCGAAGAAAAAATTAAAGATTTGCTCCAGTTTAGAATGGAAATTGGCGAAAGTTTAACTACGGCGACACCACCACCACCTACATACCAAGTCAGCGAAGAGGATGAAGAACCACCGAAAAAAAATAATTCACACGCAACTATACCAGGAAAAGATGTGAGACTGGATGGATATCATCATTGGCCGAGATTGATGGACCTCAAAGCACCTCTGAGTTGTAGACACAAAGGTTGTGAAAGTAGGTCCAAAGTCATATGTATGAAATGTAAAACTTATTTGTGTATGTCAAAAGGAAAAACTTTTTTTAAAGACTTTCATAAGTTCAAATAAATATTACCTATTTTTTAAATTCATAAACTAAAATAATTATAAGTACTTACCTACT